CCATGCCCAAAACACGACCCCGACCCTTACCAGGCGTCGAGCTCGGATCCCCTAGTGCCACCTACACCCCTCACCAAGTGCCACCGACGCACCAGACCCCCAACACCTCCCCCCCCACATTCCCAGATACCCCTCAATACCGTCATTAAAGCCAAGTAACCCCTCCTCCCACATTCCCACATACCCCTCTGTAAACCCATGTTACCGCTCCCCAGACATTCACGCACACCCCCCCCAAACATGTTACCCCTCCCCAAACATTCCTGCATGGTTACCTCAATGAAGGCAGTACAACAAACCGCAATACACATTCACAAAAGCCATGGTACGAAAAAAACTGAACAATGAAAATAAGAAGTAACCAAAGTAAGTAAAAGAAGTGGAAGCATGGTAAAATACATGAAATCTCAGTGGAAGCACGGAATCGCACAGATGTGTCAATATGAAAAAAAATGAAAAAGTAAACGAGAAGAAATATTATAAAAGAAGAATAACTAAAAAAAAAAACCAAAAAAGCAAGAAGAAGTAGAACGAAACCCGTGAAACTCTAAATGAAGAAAGGTACATATAAACATCATCGGCGCGAAATCGAAGTCCTAGTCTACGGCGCATCGCACTGCCCGTCGTCTGTGTCATCATCATCGATGATGCGCTCTCGCCGCCTTTGCGGCACCTTCGCCGCCGTCTCCTCTCCCTCCATAGGATGCTGTGACACAAACACGACATGACTGCCAACTGCTCTGGCTGCCACCCTCTCTGCCTCTGCCTCTCTCTCAACACCCGCTCCAGCAGAACGTCCCAAAACGCCAGTCAGAGTTGTGTATGTCTTCCTACCCCTAGGCATGGGCACCCCATCTGTCGCGGAATCCTCCATGCGGCCCCCAGCAGCTCGACGACTGCCCGGTTTCGTACCTGTCTGATTTCGCTGCTCCTCATCCAGTATCCTGTGTGCAGTAGAAATACAACCTCCACGGCTCGTCTGCAAAGTGACAGGATCAGGGTCATCCTCCAATGATGCTGGGGGTGGTCGGGCACCTGGCAAAGCATGTGTGGAAGATCGCCCTTTCGGACGTCGATGACCATCTCGCTGTGCCGCACCTGCTGTGGGCGGTCGTGACGGCGGTGCAACCATCGTGCTGCCCCGTCGATCTGCAGCACACGACGACTCGGCACCAGGATGCTCCAACCTATCTCCCTTCCGTACCCAGCCTGCTGCGTCCGCAAACATCTCTGTCAACCTCCCCTCACGATCCCTCCTCTCACCCGTGACCCCAGGCATAGCATCCTTGAGTCTGCGGGTGACCCTGCTGATGCCGCTCCACGATACAGACTTCCCCTTCACCTTTGATGAAGGTGATGGAGAACCCTGCACCTGCCCGCGCCCTCCTGCCG